TAGCTGGGAGGTAGCAGATAGATGTATGTTAGGTTTCGAAGGCGAGTGCAACTAGTCGAAGAAGTGCTAAAAAAAGTACGTGACACTAGATTATAGACAAAAAGTGTTTACAGAAAGGTTTGAAAATGTTAATTAGTGAAGTGAAGGTATGTCTGTGATATGCATAAGATTAGTATGAAGTTAGGTTTTGTAAGTTTTAACTGTAAAATAAAATTGTGATGTAATATTAAGAAAAAAAGGAAAAACCCACGCTTAAAATAGTGAAGTTTGGAGTGCACGTATTGTAATCGCAATTAATAGAATCAAACGATTCAATGTCGATGCAGTGTGATTGTACAAATGAAAAGATGTTCTGTAATTTATGTAAATATTCCTGTAAATACATATCGATAACCATTTACATGCTGTTTCCTGACAACTCATTGAATAAAAAAAGCTAATATGTTTTAATAATTGTTTTATTTAAAAAAAAATTATGACATGATAAAGTTCTTATACAAATAACATACGTTGGATAGTGCACACATGGTGATAGGCCTGGAGTGAGAGAAACATACAGTGCTAGCGGGTTCTAAGCGAGGCTGTTCGACAAAGTAGCTTGTGTTTGTAAGTCCGGTGGGAGCAGATCCAGTGCAAAAAGGGGGCTTGAAGACATAGTGACATATTTGTTGTCCATCATACCCACCAAGTTCTTTAACATTGAATTTATTATGTTCGATGATGAATCCTTGCACATCCAAAACAAGATTTATATTCGCAAATCAGCAAACTGATGGAAAACACACTGTTGCAAGCAATATGATTCAATGTCTTGTCTTAACTGTTTAAGTTTGGAGACGTATCGCTCAAGAGCTTTGTAGTAAATTAGCTTCATGATACAACTGACCAGGAAATGTAGGGAATGAGGTTTTTATAGACTCATAAGTTTAACGTTGTTTAACGATTTTTGTCAAAGGGTTGTAATAAAAAAGACGATCGTAGAGAATAAGGCAATAAGCGGATGTGTTTGGCGGTATATTTTCACTTGTTTCAAATTCTACTCTCATTACAACCGAACCGGTTTGAATACTTTCCTTCTGCTTAGAGCAGTCGATATGTGAGATGGGTGCCAAACTTTTAAAGTTATCAGGGGTAAACAATGGTTCGTTTTCGGATTCATAATATGAATGACGAAATTTTGAAAACATGTCATACAAGGCAGCATATTTGTTATTGAGGAAGTCCAGATAGAGATCATTATAAGGAAATCGTTCTGAATTTAAAAACACTCAAACATTGGTTAGCTTGCAGTGATCGAACGTAGACATATTTGACTGTAGTTGGTTTTTCTTATCTGTCTGAAAAGCGAGTATCACATGCCTCGGTGTTTCTAGCTTCGTAGTTGTTTTCACTGGCCACGTATGTCTAGTCGTAGCGGGAATGGAGGGGTATTCAACGAGTTCCCAACTCCGGAAGTACAGTGGAATATCAATATTTTTGTTAACAAGTTTTGTCAAGGCCAATTGTTGAGGAATGTCGACGGAAACATGAGGGACTCGCCACTGTATTTTTTCAATAGTAATTTTGGGGTGTTTCGGCGGTAGCGACCTTAATTGCATCAATATCATCATTACTTCGTATGAGTACCAATTCCTGTTTCATATTCAATATAATTTTGCGGTAGTCTTCAAAAAAGCCCATCCATATGCTTAGAGGAATGCATACGTTTAATTTACCGGTTGATAAAAAGTGCGATTCTTTGGGATACCAACCAGCATTTTGTAATTTAGTACTTTCATTTTGATTGTAAGAAAGATAACCTTTCAATGTTGAAGTGAGTCCGACGTTTCGAACAGAATCAACAACAACACCATTCCACTCATATCGAATTTCTCGGAACAAAAAGCTAAATGCGTTATTGACAAATTTAAAGTTTTCAGCTGGAGAACCATCAGATTTAGTGTTTCTTCAAGGTAAAGATAGCTTTGGGACGGTAAAGTGAAGGTATCCAATTCTTGAATAGCAATTCTGATTTCATCATTATAATCAAAATTAGCATTAATGTACGGTTGATAGGTGTGATACTCCATTTCAGTAATAGAGGTGTCAAGTAATGGCTGTTCTGTCACGTTCAAAATGCTCATGTTAGATTAATTGAAATCGCAACGACTTTAAAAACTGAGGATTATCAATCGTTAGACAACGTCTATAATTTGGACGAGGTGATGGTACGTTGGTTGGTGGAGTACTAACAGTAGAAACTCTGCGAATCTTATTTTCATAGGTTCGATTGGAAAGCACCCAATGTGGAATACTGTATCTAATACCCATTATGTATTTTGCGCAAGTGTAAACGTATGGTAATGGTTTCGTTTCTAAAGATTACAAGATCGTTGTTTTGATCAAGTACTTTAACAGTCAAGGTGTTGATCGTACTAACACTCACAGGAAAATAAATTATGTTTTGCGGTGCTTCCACTATTTTATACCCAGCCGGAACAGTTGGGAAAAATTGATGGATGATGTGACTGGGTTGTCCGTTTCTGAAAGAACCTGCAGCTATGCTACGCTCGATATAGAGTGCATTTACTTTTAATATTTCTATTGCGAAATCGGACTCATGCAGTATATTTTTTTTGCAAAATTCGGAGTTTAAAGCCCAACATCCGTCCAATAGTATTTTTTGAAGAAAAATCGATGTCACAATTGGCTTGTACAGAAACGGTGGATGAAGTTATGTTGGCAGTAAGACTAATTTGCAGTCCTGATGGAAGTTTTTGTTGTAAGGCGGTAGCCAACTCCGAAATTTCATAGGAACCGACAGGAAGTTTAAACGATTGGCGATCACTGGCAATTGAAGATGTAGAATATACAAAAGTATTGTTGGAAGCATCAACATTAGGAATGACATTGAAGGATTCAAAGTCACACAACCCAAATTCATACGCATCATCATCTGAAAGATAGATTGGAGGATTGAAGTCAGCTTGAAGCGTAGAAGAATTGTCAGAAAGGGTAAATGTCATCGACATGATGTATGCGTTGAAAGGTGGACGATAATATTCATTGATTGAACCTTGCACTAGCTTTATATAGGAAACGCAAACACAGCTGACCACAATTATGTGAGTTGAATGATTGAATGGACTCATAATTGTATTGAATATCAGAGACATCATGATTGCTGCGAAAATAATGCACAGCTTCTATGGGAGGGCGTAAATTACCATATGAATCAAAGTATGTGACATGATTGTTGTTTTTTACATATGCAGTCCAGTGGGATCCAACACCTGATGAATTATCTAAATTAATAATACCGCATTTTTTAGCTCTAATTCGATGCGTTAAATCATCTCTCATGAAAACTCCGCTAAATTTTGGAATTATCAGTTGTTTAGCCAATTGAAGTAACTCTATATTAGTAAGAGCATGACGAGGGAGTTTTTTAGCGGTTTTTTTTATAAGGTGCCAAATATAACCCTTTTCCTTGTTTAGATTGTTCTAACGCTAGGTTGTGACGTTTTTGTTCAGTCAGCTGAGCCTGATTGGTTTTCGCATCCGAGACTGCTTTGGCAATTGACGACGCTCCACCCCCAAGTGCACCTAGCGCACCAAGTAGGGGAAGGAGGATAGGTAAGAATCGCCCTTTTTTAGGTATCGGTAAAAGTCTCGACTTTTATGTGATGCGTCGTTTTTTTTACGGAGACCTTGTCCGCTTATTACTTTTTTTTCGCAATCCTAAAATGCGTTGTGGCTTGCGAATACGAGAAGAAAACTTTTTTCGACTCATGCCACTACCCAATTTCTGCTTCATCTTCATGACAGCTGAGACACCCAGTGCAGCTACTTTTTCACCAAGCGATGAATCCGATGCAGCAACCCGCTTGAGGGCGTGATCAATTAAGAAGTTATCGGCTTTACGACGAATGTCACTTTGTTTGGAGGTAGCGTAAACAAGATCGTGCTGCTTACAGGCCTCGTCTAAGCGATTAATTCCTGTATCACCTCTCTGAATGCGTTGCTTTAAATTTGTTCCAGGTCCACAGAAATTATATCCCCGGGATGTGCAATTCAAGTGGTAGTTTATCGATAAGTTTATTTATGAAACCCGTACCACGCACTGTAACGGTCGGTTTGTGACTGTTTCTCCTCGCACGACAAGCAGTCATTTTATATGCTTCTATCAAGTAACGGTTCTCAGATATATAGTAGACTGTGCTAGAAGTATTGATGTCAGTACAATTTATAGGCTATCAGAATGAAGATCGAACCATCAGCCGTACAAGTACCTGTGACGAATTTTGATGGACTTGCACAGGAAGGGGCGCTTAGAAAACATGGTAACCTATTCAATGGTACGTCTAAGCGCGCGTTAGTTGTAGGCCCAAGCGGATCTGGAAAAACTAATGTAATGATCAGTTTGTTAACACATCCTAGTGGATTGAGATTAGAGAACGTTTATCTGTACTGCAAGTCGCTGTACCAACCCAAGTACAAATATTTACGAGAACTACTAACACCGCTTCGCGAAATAGGGTATTATGAATACAGTGAAGATGAAAACATTGCGACATAAGAAAACATTAAACCAAACTCCGTAATAATTTTTGACGACGTTTCATCATGTAATCAGGATATAATAAGACAATATTTCAGTTTTGAAGACATCGTAATACAGATTGTTTCTATATTTGTCAAACGTATACTGCCGCACCCAAACATAACTTAAGGGATAACATAAACCTACTCATACTATTTCCTCAAGACAATTTGAATCTGAAACATATCTATGATGATCATATCAGCCTAGACATGTCTTTCAACGAATTTAAAAGCTTGTGCAGTTTGTGTTGGCAAAAACCACATAGCTTTGTAGTGGTTGATAAAGATTCTCCAAGACAGGGAGGCAGGTATAGAAAGTGTTTTAGCAGCAACATAAATTTGTAACAGTAATATATATATAACTATACTCTGTGCAAATCTTAGGGTAGTACTTATATAACATCGCAGGTAGTCAGATGGATCAAAAACTGGCCAAAGAACTAGTCAAAACCAGGAAAGCGGTTAAACAAAAGTATCTCACAGTTAAATCAGATATTGCAGCAACGGAAAGGGAATTACAGCAACAGTTTAAGCCGATCTCAGAACCGTTTCAAAAACTCTTATCAAAAGTTGAAGGACTTAAACAAGAATTGCAGATCAAAGAAGAACAATCTACACCCCCATGAGTGACATCCACACCGAAGAAACGACAATCATTCAATAAAGAATTGTCAGAAAATTTATACCAGCGATATTTACCACCTGTCAACTACAGCTTTCTCGAGGATGCATATTCAAACCTCCCGGAGCCACATCGCAGTCAAGATGTATCTACGGTTGAAGAACTTACTCCAAATGCTACGGTGTTTGAGACAGAAAACCAGCAAATCAATGAAAGCGTGGCTCGAGTGGCGCAAGAATTCCACCAACTAATTGATACACCTGCATATCAAGAGTATCTTGAAGGCTTTCACCCTGTACCTCGAAAATATGTTGATGAGTCAATTCGTGGGAACGAGCGCGAGTTTGATCGTTATTATGGATTAACACATGATATTGTTTCTGACAAGTTTCAACTCGGTAAAAGTCCGGTTACGCTAGACGGAGCAAATATCGTGGTGGAAAATGTAACATATCCTGGCACACCTGGATTATATGAACTGCTTTTCAAAAAAGAACCAATTGGTTATAAGCAGAGTGATCTAGATCAGTATATGGATATGCTACGTCGCACAAACGCATATCGCAGAAATTTTGAACCTAATACTCAAATACATGGTAGTACGTCCTACAAATATCGAAATATAATTCGACCATAACATTCTAAAGCAGCAGCGCATACTCAGGTCCGGCTCCTTTGAGAAACCTCCACCTCCTAACAGTCAGTTACGACGAACACACTCATTCAAACAAACAGGTCAAGAAATGCTCCACTTATCAAATAAACCAATCGACTACATCTATTTTGATGATCCAAATGAATTGGTTGCTCGTTTACGTTTGTTGTTAGCTTCACAGTATGCTGGTAATAATGGACATCGTAACGAGATTATGTCTATAATTGAGGAGTTATGTGAATTAAAAATTATAAAATGAATTTGTAACGTAATATTACTTTATTTACATTGCTGCAGTTGTAGGATCAAGATGCCAATTGATAAATTTGGAAGACATATGCTCCGCTCAAAGAAGACGGACACTGCTGCAATCTTCAGTACTTTTCTAAGATCCAACCTATCTAGCGTATGTGTGGTACCCATTTATTCCTCCACATCCAACGAGCAGTTTTACACATTTAACGACAATAGCAAGGACTATATCGTTCATGTGACTGGGATAGTTGATAGTATAAATGTTCCGCCAAAATTAAGAGTGACAATTGGTTTAAATAGTCTCACCGACAACACACCTCTCACGAAAGGTGATATTCTCCATTTCTTCACATCTAAAGAACCCAGACCAGAGCAGCTTATAGCAAATATTGTAATGCGCTGTCCATTGATACAACAATGATGGACTTTAAAAAGCAGGTTGTTGAAGAACTTCATAAAACAGCTCGCCGAAATTATAGACGTCGGCGCGTTATTGTGAAGGGGGTCAACGATCTCCTGCAGGCAGATTTGGTGGAAATGCTTCCGTATCAGAAAGTGAACAAAGGATTCCGATATATTTTAATTGTCATCAACGTTTTTAGTAAATTTGTGTGGGCAGAACCAGTCAAACGAAAAACCGGAAAAAGATGTTACAACTGCAATGAGGGCGATTCTGTCGCACATGAAGTCAATTCCAAAAAAATTACAAACAGACTTGGGTAAAGAATTCTACAATAGTGATTTTACGAAGTTGATGGAAGAGTACAAAATTAATCATTACAGCACCTACTCATCGACCACAAGCAAGTGTAGTTGAAAGGGTGTACCTCACTGAGGGAGAGTACCTACTCTGGATGTCGGCATAAATGACGTATGTCACGCACGTTTGACTCACCCCCTGTATAAAACATTCTTGACCCCCCCCCCCTGTACACTACACCTTACTATCATTATCACAACCGTACGCGAACACAACAACACCGATAAGGTCGACCACAGTGAACCACTATCTACTTTTGTGGTCACTGGTACGATGCAGGTGCGGCGGATCGATACTCAACAGCATTCAGTAAAACATTTGCAACGACTCGTTCTAGCTAAGTGGTAGAGCGTTGGCTTTGCACGCAAGAGGTCCCGAGTTCCAAACACACGCCGTCCACTGTTTTTCTATTTCAGGTACATTTCATCCGTAGCATCTGTTTGCGAGATGCAATTACTTATTACGTCACTGGTACGATGCGTGTGCCTTGGCACTTATCAGCCTTCAGTAAATCATTTGCAGCGATTCGTTCTAGCTCAGTGGTAGAGTGCTGGCTTTGCACGCAAGAGATTCCGAGTTCGAAACATATGTCGGCTGCTGTTTTTCTGTTTCAGGTATATTAGCAATAACTATTCATTCATTGTACCTACCAGCAAGTATAAGATCAATGACCCTTCACACAAGCAAGGATGCTGCCTCTTTCCCCAGAATCAATAAATCGCCAGAATCAATAAATCACCAGAATCCATAAATCACCAGAATCCATAAATCACCCACACATCAAAGGATGCCGCCCACGCATCAAAGCATGCCGCCCAGGCATCAAAGGATGCCGTCTTTTCCCACGGTCCACATAATTTTCCCACGGTCCGCAAAATTTTCCCACACTCAAGTCCGTATATCATAGGTTTCATCATTTCCCATATCGCACATACCACCCACGCATCAAAGGATGCCGCCCAAACATCAAAGGATACCGCTTTTTCCCACGGTCTGCAAAATTTTCCCACGCTCAAGTGACCCATACTCTACTTTAGAGAGTTTTGGATGAAGCCGCTCAAATTGAAGTCATTTTGGAATAAATCCTAATACTTCACTACGCAAAATTGTAACTGCCACTGGTATTTCATTAGGCTCTGTACACGCAGTTACTAAACCCCATAAATTTCATACATTCAAAATGAAAATATTGCAAGAGTTAACCGACAATGATTTCGATAGGCGAGTTGAGTTTTGTGAACAAATGACTGCAGCGATTAATGATAACACCATTCATGTAAAGAATATCTGCTTCAGTGATGAATGCACATTTTATCTAAATGGATTTGTTAATGAAAATCCTCATGCTTTTGTAGAAGGGCATACCCAGTACCCCCCAAAAAAAAAATGAATGAATGGGCAGGCATTTTAGGAGACAAAGTGATTAGACCATTGTTTATTAATGGAAATTTGAATGGAGACATTTATTTGGATATATTGGAAAATACCATCAATCTGCTTACCACTGAAACCATTGAAAACCAAATCGAAGAGGATGGAAATCCTATACTTGACGAGGCTGAAATATATTTCCAGCAAGACGCCGCTCCTCACTATGTTCTTCCGGTTCGGCGATGGCTAGACGACGAGTTTCCAGTTAAGTGTAAACGAAAAATTATACAAAATTGACATTGTAGCATTAATACTAAATAAATCTTCAACAAACAAACATACGACATTTACTGGTTTAGTAAAATATCATAAAAATTATAGCAATGTTTGCATAGAACCAAAAACAACAAGATCGACAGTGTATTCTACGCGGGCTTGAGAATTATATCGGGCTGTTTGAAAACAAATTCTTGCTGGGGTAAACAGAGGAAAAAGAGCTGAAATTTAGAAGACTCTGGCTAGGCGCAAAATTCCTACTCAAGAAAATGTCGACCCAAGATCATCCGCTAGCAACAGGTTTAAAGAATACTACTGATTACTCTAAAGGCAAATTAAGATCTGGTATAGGTATACACATCCCAGAAATAATAATAATAACATGCCTTTATTCAATTATTTTACAAATACATATTTTGGCTAAGGTGAGGTACTAAAAATTTGAAATCAAAGAATCGAAATGGCGGAGTGTTACCTTAAACATGAATAAGAATAGTGTCGTAAAATAATGAATACATGTAATTTGTGATAATTTCCTAATAATGTTTAAATCTATACAAGTATATATATTTAAATTTCAAGTCATTTAATATAAAATCATGATGACCTTATGATATGACTCGAAAAATCATTCAGTCAGTTTTATTCTTGCTGAATTTTTGAAAATTGATCTCATTATCATCAGGTAGAGGAGGCGGATAGAAGCATTGCTTTTATCTTTTTCTTGAAATTTATTAGACTGTAATTGCGGTACTCAGTTGGTGGATTGTTGTAGTGTTTCTCCGCAATGTATGAAACACTTTTCTTATATAACTATGTAGTGGTGGGGTATAACTAGAGATTGACTATTTCTTGTTGCTAAGTTGTTAACATTTTCGAAATTTTGTTGCTTATTGAGAAGGTACTCTGGTTTCTTATTGATTAACGTCTTATGGACTAAAGATAGTGAATCATGGATTCTAAGATTTTCTAAATTCAATTTTCCGTTTTTCCTTATAAAGAGGACTGATATGGCCTGATTTTCTAATGCCAAGACAATAACGAAAACAAGAATTTTGGAGTAGCTGCAGCTTGCAATAAAGCGGGTCCATACACTGAGTCACAATCAGATATCCTTGAAATGATTAGTGAATCACACAGATGTAATTTTAATTTAATATTTACTAAATGTCTTTGAGGATATAATTGTATGAGGATACCATAAGATTTTGAACATAACTTCTTCATATGACGGTCAAATTTTAGTTCATTATCCAACCATAAACCCAGATTTTTGCTTACAGTTACAACTGGAAGGAATGTTGTTGATGTTGAGCCGATATACATGTTCACTTTCTATTATGATTCGTTTATGCTTTGGTCCAAAAATCATACCTTTTGATTTAGAAACATTCAATGCTAAATTATGAGCAGCCGAAATGTGATACATGGTATTTAGATCATTGTTGATCAAATCAAAGGAAAAAGATGCATCATTGATATGAAAACCATAATATAATTGTGTGTCGTCTGCGTTGTGATGAACATTGCAGTACTTTATATTGTTAGAAACGTCTGAAATATAAATAGAGAATAATACAGGACTAAGAATGGAGCCTTGAGGTCTCCCATCTTTCTATCAGAAAACTTTTTATAAGTTGCACAGCAGGACAGCTGAAGCCAAAGTATTTTAATTTAGTATGGTATCGAAAGCCTTGCTGTAATCAAGTAATACTAAACTAACAATTTTGCTGTTGTCGACTGAAAACAAATCATCGACCTTGCAAGCTAAAACTGTTGTAGTATCATAAGATTTGCGGAAGCAGGATTGAATCTGTGGTAAAATAGATTTATTTGTATCATATTCCGTAATTTGCTGTTCCATTCTTCTCTAGGACTATTTATAATATTGGCAAAGTGCTATTGAGAGTATAGGTGGAATAGGAACAATTCGAAATTCATTAATGATGAAGAGGTTAATCACAGAAGCAGGGGTGCTGGCGGCCCAAAGCATGAATTTAGTGAGAAAAGTGAGGTTTTTAAAAAAGGTAGTAAGAAATAGTGAATTTATACATGAAAAGTGTCTTAATTTCCTGAAAAAATATATATTAATGTCAAGTTTAAACGGATAATATAAATAAGAATGTGTGTAAAAACGAGAATAACTCATATAAGGTCTTTGTTACTGTTTTATTGACGTAAGTAAAAATAATTATTTATATGTATGCATATTTCAAGATCAAATGCATACAATGCATAGAAGAAACATAAAAAATATAAAAAATTCTTGTAAATGCGGGAGACGTACTATACGTATCTATTAAGTATTCTTGCCCTATTGATTGAACCTACATTTTAGCGAAATAATGTTAAAAAGTTGGAATTTGATATAGTTATTATAGATTGATAGAATAGTTGACTAACTTAATCATCAGTCTGTAAGACTAGAGTACTTGGCATTAGGAATCAAGCGAGGCTCTATTCAATGGGTTCCCATCGCCAGTTCCTGGCTTCATCATCAGATCATCCCCATGTCATAATAATATTGCATTGCCAATTGACATATTAAACGTCCGCCATGATGGATTAAAATGACGTCACTTTGCTTATTGTATTTTTTTCATCAATCCCTTTCATTTGATATCAATAATATATAATAATCCCCATTATGAGGCATACGCTATATTAGGACCAGACAGACATACAAAATTTCAGCTCCATTAGTGAATTGGTCCAAATTCAGTTTCAGGATTTGTCCCACACATGAATACTAAAGAACTAACATATTAGCAGTTACTTGTCAAAGGCTTGCAAAAAGATCCACTGTTAATGCAATGAATATTGAAATCTCGTCTCAAATTAAGCCAGGAGAAAATGAAAACGGTTCAAGGTAAATTCGTATTTTCTGACTTCCTAAAAGTACTCTGAACTGCCAAACAATCTAAGTAACATTTTATTAGTTACCTAATAACACATATTGGCTCAGCTTGGGGAGAACCCTGTACATGGACAACTCTGTCATACTTAATTTTTATAAAAAAATCAGTTCCTCATTTCGTGGGACTTGAGAGAAAACAGACAGCTCCCTCAAAAACGTTTATAAACCAAAATATGTACAGCAAGATCGAAAATAGTGTGAAAAGTTAATGTTTTCAATGAAAAGAGAGTAAAAGTGAGGTGGATCGAAAAAAGTGAGTCGCCAGCATCCCTACATAAGCTAAGGGAAATAAATGGTTGTAATATAACTTTTATACTGGATACTTGGATATACGGGGATTGCAGAATACGAAACAATAGACAAATTAGCGAAAATTGGCAAGGACTTAAATGCACCGCGTTAAATCGACGTTCCATTGTCAGAAATACAACAATTAATAAAGCAAAAAACCAAAGACAAATTCATCAAATCCTGGAAAGAAGCACTAAAAGGAAAACAACAGCAGAACCCAACAAGGCTTCCCCATAAAACTATGGTTCAATACGACAACATATACAAACAGAGGATATTTCACAAGTATAATTAGACTGAGGACAGGTCACGCACTTTATAGGAAATCCCTGTACGACATTGGCATTGCGAACAACCCCCCCTGTGAATGAGGTGAAGAAGATGTGGAGCATGCATTCTTCGAATGCCCTATCAATCTGACACTGAACTTCAACCTGTATGAGGAATTATTCAAAACTGGCTTACCACTCCCTATCCAACTACATAGTGTCCTATCGAATCTAAACTATCTCAGAACCAATGCATCAAGTGACCACCTCAAAATTATGATATGAAATTCTCCTTTTGTTTCTATTATCACCTGGGTGCTATTACGTTACCGAGGCAATATTTCTGGGCTTGTGTAATGCTCCCCCGGGTGCGAGAAGAGTGTATACCTGTTTAGTGCTATCTCTCTAACTAACCCCCCTCCCACACCTAACCAGTCAAATTAGTAACAGAAAGTAATGTGAATAAGTAATGATGTGAATCAAGTAAAGCAAATCGGTAATAAATACGAATATTAAAGGATTGCAGTATAGTTTAGAACCAGACAAGAATACAAGCACTCCAAAGGCGAAAACCATCCATATCCATCGAAGAAGAAGTAATACTCGGCAACTGCACATTTTATTGGAAAAACATGACCTAAACAATGACCCCTATTCGTGAAAACGAGGTAGGCGAATCGCTGAGAACAAGAATAGTGGTTCTCTTCATTGAGAAATGCTCCTAAATTCTGATAGCTTGTTTGTGAATGTATCCATTTTCGGCAAAATAACATGTTCCTAGGCACTCTACACCTATATCATTAAACGTTCCATCTTGAAGTTAACTTCGCCTTTTGAGTTGTGACATGCATACCTTTTCTCCCGAGAAGAGCCCCTGGAGCCGCTTTTATTTGTTCAGGAATACAGTTCCTCAAAAGGAAAAGGAACCACTCTCACTTTTTCTCAGTTGTTCCATTCCCTCATTTCAAAAATTTTGTCCTGGGAGTCAAGTTCGTAAATTGAAATAGTCAACCAAAATTTTTAATTGCAGATTTGTGTATAAATCGAGATTCTACATCAGAGTGCATTTTCAGACATGAGGCCACGCGGTCATGAGTGGTCCAACCAGTATGACTTTCTGTAATGTCTGAAAAGTACAAAAATATGAAAACAAAGAATTTTGCTGAACAACAATAGCTTCAGGATATCAAAAAAGCAATTTAATGGCTACCTCAAATATAACCTAGATATTGACCTCAGAGGTCAAGTTTGTGAATTCAAATAACAATCATAATATTTGAGGTTAAAGATTAATTGACTTTTTGATATCTTGAAATATTCATTAGATTCTTTCAAAAAATGCGTGGTAGCGAAGTTTTCTGGCTGCGCTTTTCAGATATTAATGATATTACAGTAGATCATATTAATGCGTCCAATTTACAAACAGCCAAACAATATCTAAGAAATAGTCAATATCTAAGTAATAAATTTAAGGTTGAAGATAAATTGCTTTTTGGATACCCTGGGATTTTCATCGAGATCTTTTTTAAAAATGCGTGGTTGCTAAGTTCGTGTACTTTTCTGACGTTACCGTAGATCATACTGAGTGGACCACTTGATCTTATGAAAATGCACTCTGATGTAAAAACTCAAACTAGACCTCTAAGGTCATATTTAAGATCGCCAAATTTCTTTTTTGATACCTTGAAACTTAAATTGGACCCTTTTTTCAGAAAAATGCGTCTTGCCGTGTATTCGAGATGTGCGGTAAATCAATATACAGGTACTTTAGGGTTAAGAAGTAGTCATAAGGCGTTTCAGAACTAGGTATCACATGATCTATTTCATGCAAAAAATCAAATTCTCAAACGTTTTTTCTACATTGAAATATGGTATGCATAAATTTCATCACCCCTAGTTTCAGCAACATTGCTGACATTTTACATCTCAAATATCAGCACTGCTACTGTATAGATTAGATTAAGGTCTGAATAAATGTTAGCTTATGAAACAAATTGTAAGCTTTCAAAATATGCATACTTTTTATATGAAATGATAGAATGTGTTAAATTATAGTTTCAGTTGGTGATCGCGAGACAAGTCTGTAAATTACTACTTTTTCCTTGAATTATTTTAGGCATTCCATCTATGTTTACTCTCCATTCTTGTAACTTTTTCAATGTGTTATCCTGCTAACAGAGTTCCTTCAGAATAAAAAAGTTCTTCCCGGAAGACTACATCTCGACTAGTTGTACTTGTCACTTTTATTTGGACGCCCAAAACTTCTGAATTTGCACATTTCACGGTAAGTAGGACTCAGTGTAGTATATTTATATATCTCACTGTACATTTAGAACATGCTCTACACTGCAAAAACAAGCCAGGTCAAAGCCTGACATCAAAAACCCTCAACAACTGTTATATAAGTTGTTCCATTTCCTGCATGAACTGTTTGTAAGCGTCATCTTTGGTGGCTCCAGTCGCAGCCATGACGCTCTGTTGCATGGACAGTTCTTTCTGCTTCATCTCCCTGGCTATCGCGCTCGGGTTCTTGGTCGGCTTCTTGTCATCCCTTTTCACTCGCAACGTGGACGGTACGAACCTGGTCACGTCGGCGCTCAGGTTGCGTATCTGAGGCTTCGCCGATATCGTTACGCCCTGTTTGCTGCCCGAAGTTTCCGATCTGAAACGAAAAATCACAAATGTAAAACGGAGATTATTACAATGACCGCTTAAGCCGCTAGTACCGCACTTCTACACTGAGAAAATTGACAGACTGAAAAAAAAAGTTAGTTACTGGCCGTTAAATGAAACCACAGAAGCAGAATAAAAGTTGTCAATGACGTTTATCTATTTATTTATGCCTGTCAGGTGAGAGTGTATTTGATTTTGCTATTAGTTCCAACAAGTTGATCCTCGCCGAGGCAGCGAGAATCTATCATTATAACCTTAAAATGGCACCGCGTAAAAAGTTATGTTTAACCAGTCGGTTTAAAGAGTATCAATCATATATTTTGGGGGATATTCAACCAAATTCGGTTACAATCTATGGAAGAGTTGGAAAGACAATGGCTATTAAGTAATTGACAACACTAGAGTTTAAAGTTCTTTATTTTTCAAAATGGTGGTCTAACGGGTTGTCAAGGGTTTTCGTACATTAACTCGATCATCAACTATTCGTCAAAATTTTATCAATACTCACCTTTTAAAGTGTCTATGCTAATATACAATTGAACATGGGACATTCCATTAAAAAATACACACTTTTTTTAATTGAACGTTTCATATTTAATTGCACATCCAGATAGATGCTTGCAAAAAGAGAAGATTTATGTGACATAATACAACCTTTTGATGGTTAGTTGTAGAATTATAAACGAGTACAACTCTCACTAGCCTCCAGACCGCCATCTTGAAAAATAGACAAGTTTATATTATGGAGTTCATAAGCGCTCGTTAGGACCTTCAACCACAGTCTCTCAATACATTTAAAAATGTAGTAGTAGTAAGTAGTATTTTATTCAGTACAAACACATGGTTCAAATGGCAAGTCACAAAAAAAATATTGAACATGGCAGAAAAGACAAAAATGTATCATTCGAAGATACATTAATAAAATAAGCAATAATGAATTTAAATTTGAAACTGTACGTTATAACACATTAAAATAATTGACTAAATTAAAATTACGTAAAAAACAATATTCAAAAAGATCCGATTTAATGGTATTAAAAACCACAATTTAAAAATTCGTCAATAGAATAAAAACATTTATCAGTTAGATAATTGAAAACCATTCTTTTAAAATTACAGTAGATATCAATGTCCTCAAATCTCTAGGTAGAGCATTATACTGCGGTGGCCTAGTATAAGTTAGAGTCCTAGAACGATTTGATTTTAACTTGGTGATTCTTGTATTGCATATATCCATGCAGTTCATTTTGCATCTTAAAGTTGTTAGTGTTAGGTTTAACATGATTTACACATTTATATATAAAAATACAAGGTACAGTGAGCAGTTTTGCCTGCAAGTTTCCCTGAAAGTGAGATTGGATAATAGTCTGATGATACGTTTTTTCAAACGAAGACTCTCTTTATGCTAGTTGCTCTACAAATGGGTACTGTTGCGTCTTGTAGAACTTCTGATTTCACTGTTTATTCACTTGAAACTTCTAGAGGGTAGTCTGATAGATTATTTTGAAAAAAGTTTCAAGTGAAAAAACAGCGAAATTCGAAGTTCTACAAAACGCCACAGTACCTTATTGGGTTTGGACTGGATACAAACTTATGATGTATAAGCGATACATTCAACAGGTTAGTAATGTTTTTTTCACCTCTGGTCGACCGCGCAATCGATTGTTATATCCGGAAGCCCACGTGTTGTGTCCAGAGGTGAGAGGTGAGTCTTTTTATTCCTGGTTCACGGGGTACCCGGGCCAGATACAACGAAATCGAAGCACCAGAATGTCTGTCTGCACATGCGCACACGCTGGCGTCACGGATTGAGTGTACAGGGTGGTGTGGATGTTCATGTACAGGGTGATACCGGCTAATTGTACCGGGATGTACAACAATACATAACAGAGATTTTTCATCTAAATACTGTTTCACGTGAAATAATGCAAAGAAGCTTTTGTTTAAATTGCAGCAGATGTTGTTTATCTGAGATTCAAAAGTCATGTCTGCATCAAACCAGCTACCAAGGAGCTTAACATTGTCTACCAACTGCAATCCAAGTTGATTATTTAAAGCTGTTGTGACCGAAGGAATAATTTTTTTAATGTGAAAATTGATTGCAGGAATTTTCTTTTTATTCAATATGAACTTATTCCTTTCACACCCTACCTCCATCTCTTCAAAAACTATCAAGATGTTCTTACAAAGTTCTGCTCCAGAACTGCCAGAAACTAGAAACCGTGACTGTAGTATCATCGGCAAACATTGTGACTTTACCTTTTGAAATGAAATTTGGAAGGTCATTTATGAAAAGTATAAATAACAACGGTCCCAACACCGATCCTTGCGGTAAACCAAGGTAGACTCGATAACTATCAGACATTAATTTATCAGTTTTTACAATAATACTTCTGTTGGATAAGTAAGATTCGATCCAGTTTAAAATAATGCCTCAAATCCACGTGAATGTAGTTTTTCTAGTAAAATATCCTTACTCAGGCTGTCAAAAGCTTTCGATAAAGCAAACATGAAACTTACAACGAAACTGCCATGATCCAGTTCTGAATAGACATAATTTAAAAGTTCAGAGGTAGCCGTCTCCACAGACTTATTTTGCCTTAACCCATGCTGGGCATGAGATAAGATGTTGAATCTTACAGCAAAGTCAGTAATAATTGTGTACACTGTCCGCTCCATGACCTTAGAAACTTCTGATAGAAGTGATATTTGCCTGTAATTTTCTGTATCCTCCAGATTTCCCTTTTTGTGAAGAGGCAAAATTAGAGCTAGCTTCAACAGATCAGGAAAAAGCCTACTGCTTAAGGAAAGATCTATTATATGAGTCAGAGGTAGCAAAATATAAGATAAATTAAAAAATATATATAATAAATTTTAATACTCTGGGAGGAATGTCATCCATACCATAACTTGTTTTGTCCTTTAAGCTCATTAAGGTCTATCAAAACATCATTTTCTGTAATGTATGGCACAAAGATTGAATTGGAAGGGCGTGAAACTGCTGGAGTGCAGGGTAATACCATGTGTTGACCAAAAGTGTCAGCTAACATCTGATTGCATAGATTTGAAAAATAGTCCGCAAAACAATTACTAATAATGTTTTTATCTGTTTCGATCTTCCCACAAATTTTTATTTTGTTAACTCCCGATCCGTTAGATTCAGAATAAACGTCCAACCAATCTGTCGTTTGCAGATAGTAAGACAAATTTTCGTTTGAAAACTTTATGTTTAGTGTGTTAAAAGTTTAAGTAAGTACATTTTTCAGAGTAAGGATTTGCGACAAATGGTCACCAAGATTACAGTTAAGAACAGATGCATCATAACATCCTGGCGGAAGATTTGTAGTTAGTTAGTCTTTGCAAAAGATAGCTGTATGGGCATTTAGATTTGTGAAGATACGAGTTGGCTCAGTGATAGCTAGATGGATACCGAAGCAATTTAAAATATCTTTAAAATTATTGTTTCAATTGATGCATCTAATGTTAAAATCGACTAATAGAATTATATATTTATACTTATTCATTACATGTGTCAGTAGGGAACAAGTTTTGTTCAAAAAGTTGGAAGTCTCCTATCCCAGGTCTGTACACAGTAATTATGGCTATTTGACTCTTTCTGGTATTGTATGCAACCCCACAGACTGCTAGATGACATTCAACAGAAAATGGTTTTATTGAAGGTATATATAAGGTATATCCTTTGTGTTTTTGCAAAAATTGACACAGCTCTATGAATATGTTTCGACCTAGAGAAATGAGAGACCAGAATATAATTTGGAAAAATTACATTTTGAATATCTAAATTTAAAAATCAATGTTCAGATATACATATTATGTCCAAATCCACCTCATGAGCAACAGTTTCAAGTACATCTAGTTTGTTAGATAAACACTGAATGTTTGAGTGAAAAATGCATGATAAATGGGGCGAATCTATCGTACTAAAAAATAAATAGGAATTTGCTGTCATTTGCCAGAGCTTCAGCTAAATTTGATATTCCCTGGTGTTATCCCCATTTAACACGTTTTTTATTTTGTACCGGTCATAGTTCAACTTGGAATCAAACCTTTTATAACGAACACCCTCTGGCCAGAATAGCGGGTCATAGAACAACTCCTTGTACTTGAAATCTGCGACCAGCAAAAACCAGTTAAAATTCTTTCTTACAACACTTTCTTTACCATTAATTCTTCTCCACTTTTTCCTGTCTTTTGGTAACATAGGCTAGTACATCTTCTTTGGATTCCAGAGCTACTTTGTGCAGGTAAATATATACTTTAGGTGCCGTCCCATGGAAGTTTCCGACTGGTTCGGACAGCCCTACATTACTTTGACGTGAGTTTCTTTGTCCCTCTTTTTTCTTTGCACTGTCTCCCATTGATGGTCTTGATGACTGACAGCCGGAACAATACCAGATTGCTTCTTGATTCCTGCATCATATTGTTTTTTCTGTGGTAACTGGATTGTTTACTCTTGAGTTTTTGCTACTGATGGCTTTCTTGATCTGTTATATGGCCCAGATGGTAAAAACGGATTGGATTACTAGATTGGCTGACTGGAGCTTGCTTCAAAATTGGCATATTCTCTTCAAAAGTCGAACACAGATTTGTAAGATCCTTCTTTAGCTGCTGATATAAGCTATCATAGAGTAGATTGAAGTTCTGTCCATCACATTGGGTTTTTGCATCACTTTCCTCTCCATTTGCTTTTACTACTGAGTCATCTTCTTTAATTCCTTTTTTTTTCAGATTTCTAATATCCTTACAGAGTAGATCGTAGTTCTTTTTTGAGAGTATCAATACTGATTAGCATTTCATGTTTAATTGTTTCGTAAGCCTTAAGTTGTTTTTAAGCACAATGATGTCATTTTCATCAGATTCTAATTTTGATTTCAAGGCTGAATTTGTTCGTAAGAGCTCCTCATTTTCCTTGCTAATTTTTTCGATAACATTGCGCTGATTATTGATAGTAATAGTAAAACTTCTTTCAGTATCAAAAACTTCATCATCAATATATGTTGTTCTTCGCAGTCTGGTGATATACTCATCTGTCTCCTTTGATTGTTTAATCAGAGCTTCAATTTCAGCCTCGTATTTTTAAGAGTTTCTCTTCTGTTTCTGCTTAAGGTTTTGAGTTTATTTTTTCTTCTTCAGCTTTCTTATTTTTTTGGCATATCTCTGAGCAATAGATTGAATTTTTGTCTACTTCAAAAGTATTTTTCTTCCTTTTGAGGCAGCTCTTATGGAAAGCTGAGAAGCATGTGATGCAAAACATATACGAGAGCTCCTTCTTACAACATTTAAATTGATTATCCATGATTGATGCATGAGCCGTGCGGTAATTATAATTTTGCTGTTACGCCACTGATATTTGTGTTGGTGATTACAGAAACGAAAATATGTGGCACCTCAAAATTCGCACCTACATCTTGATGAAAAAGTCCGATGTGATCCAGATATTATTATATACGATAAACTCGTTCAATCAACGTAAAAATAATATTCTTCTCACTTGTGCCATTTTTTTTAAATATGAAATATTTGCTTTCGACGATAATTCAATTTGCGTGCACGAGCGATACGTTCACGTTCACATCACATCACAGATATATCAATGGCATCAATCGATTACTTTTAACGAAACTTATCGATTGAATACATGTAATGCTACCACTTGATCTCTGCTCTACCGAAAACATTACACAACTTCGTGCACCTTCCATTCTCTAACCTAATGTTCCAAGATGGGGAATGCGGGTCCCGTCACCATCTTGATTATTTTAACTGTGACTTTTATGTTAAAATGTAGTATTCATGCATCAGTTTCTAGCTGCTAACTTGACTAGACAAAGTCAATTTACTTGATACCATAAACGACTGAAGTATTGCATTCGCAAAAATATCAGATCAGTTAACACGATTTTTGTTGTTTGAAAATACATACTTGATTCACGTAAATCCATTTATTTTGCTTATTTTCGCTAGTTGTGAGCCGAAAACAACCGCACCAACCGTTTACATCCTTTTCGCATGCTTCTCAAGTTTCTGCTACTTTTGGGCATAATCAGAATATTCCTGTTAAAGATTTTGACAAAACTCCAAACCTTATCAGTGCTTTACAAGATTACGATCGCTTACTTATTTAGACCAGGAACCATGTTATGTGTCAGGAGTCTTGAAGAACTCATAATTTCATCAAAATCAGAGCGGCATTTTCCAAGTTATAGAGCTGTCAAGAATAAGCAGACAGACAGATCGAGAGACAGACATACCAACGAGAATAAGGTTCGTGGTTTTTCTTGAAGAAACTTGTGTAGTGAAAAAAAAGAAATATTATGCCTTCATTGTTTATTTTACTCCCTAGACTGACATGTACCTCAAAGAAAAACTATAAACACTTTTGCAACACAAGTTATATTTAGAGATCTCTTTAGTCCAAAAATTCTCTTTTCACATTCAATACACCCTTTTATGACCCCTTCCGAATCAAGATTTACACGGGTGAGTGTATCTGATCGTTCGTCTTGGTTGCATATCAAACCTGGGCAAAAAATATTCTTTCTGTGGTAACTTCTAGGTTAATAGCAAGTTTGTGACCTCTCAAGACCATTGAAGAAGCAAATCTATGTTTCATTAATGGATTATGCAGATGGAGTTCAATGTTTTGTGATCTTGGGCTAATGCATTCGATTTTCTTCAGTTGCTGCAAATATCCAATTTAGATACGTCCATTCAGAACACATTTTTGGTGTCACAAATATCTAATTCTTTCAAATTTGGCCCACTGAAGTCAAAGAGACAAACATTTTTTGAAGACAATACTGACGCAAACGTTGGTCTTGTGTTTATAAACAAAATCCTTCACCAAGGATTAATTCAATAATTGAGCAGAGATGTCTATCTAAATAATCCTATGAAGCAGAAACATGGATGTTTAATGGTCCTCAGAGCGTTTTCATTTAATACTGTCTCTTCATTTCATAGGATTGACAGAATTCTTAATAGAAAAGGATATAAAAAAAGCCTTGTTCAACAAGAGATTTCCCAGTAAAGAATGAACCGGGATTTGTTTTATGATCAACACAACGATCAGAAACACTCATTCAACTTGTGTAAAAATTATTTGTTCAAAAAACAACTGGAAGAAACATTACAAATCAAGGAGTTGCCAGTGAGTGGCCAGTTCTAGAATCTCAAACCGACCGAATTTCTTGATCCATCTTGTCCATCTAATAAAGAACACACTGAAACAAATTGAAAAAGCTTGAAAGTAGCTTAAACCTATTCTCGAAGAATTAGTCACGTCACAATAATGCCAAGAACCATCCCCAGTGTATTATTAGTGACAGGATCTTTTCACCAGAAAGATGAGTAAATATAACTTGTGCTGTAAAAACGTTTCATGTCCTTATTTGAGGAACATATCACCCAAGTAGTAATATAACCATAACAATATTATCTTAAAATATTCTTCCTCTGCATAACTCTCCTTGCATCTTTTTTTTGTTTTAAGTATCAATCGGCAAATGTCCGAAAGCTTTTAAAAAGCATAATATCCCAAATTTTTGTCGATCACAATACTCGGCGACTGGCGTAAATATTGAAAACTGAAAACTCACCTATTGATCAACTGCGGTGCCGCGGACAGCACAGTAGCAGCAGCGACTGCAGCATTTGCTGCCGTAGCGGCAGGGTTTGTCGCCGGCGGGGGTGGCAATCTAACCAACCTGGGTGGCGGAGGCGGACCAGGTACCGGAATGCCCGCAGGCCGAATGGGGGGCATCCTGGGCGGTGGCATTCCTGGCGGCGGACCGGGAGGCATTAGTGGACGGCCTGGCGGAGCGGCCGGGGGCATAATGGAGCGATTTGCGGTAGGTGCACCAGGGGGCAACATTATGCTCGATGTTAATGTGGGCAGGATGTCCGTGGTACCTGTAAATCAGAGCAAAGTTAGAGAAAAATTGGTATCATATTTTATTATGTACTACAGTTTATAAAAATCGTGAAAACCGTTGCCGAACATACTTCACATGCACACATATTTCCAATACTCACAATGATTTTGTAACGTTTGACACAGTAAGTAATATGAAGACTTGCGTCTGGAACGAAGTCGATCGACTATGTGTGCTAAGGCGCTTCTAGACCGGCATTTTTTTATTGTGTTATCTAGCAGCAACAGAATAGCCAGCAACATATAGTAATATTTTTTATTTCCGATATATTTTTGTATATTTTGTCGAACGATCGGCACGGGTATCATGTAAAAAACCTATAAAATGCCAAAAAAACATATAAGATGTCAACTTGCAGATTAGGTAGTTTTTAGGGCGCAAACAGTCATTCCACGTTTGCTCACTAGGATCATTGTGAACGTCCATCTGTGGAGGAATCACTCATCTAAACTACGCATTATTGGTTGCATAGCTTTATGAGGCTGAGTGATCCGGGTCTGTAGTTTTTATCTCTGAGAAGAAAGTTGGTTGAATAGCAAGATCGCATCTGGATCATAATGTGTATTGGTCTGCATGTGTATAAAATCAGTGATATTTGCTGTGTAAGAAAATCATTACTGAATATAGCGAATATGACGGGTTATTTATATGTTGTGCTTTCTGAAGAAAGGTTATGTTCAAAGTTATAAATTACGAAAAACTAAGGAAAATTACTGGAAATCATCACCGCGCTCGCGTTGTGTGTAATTACTGTTATATGGCTTGTAATTCGACAGTGTACAGTGAATATAATTACTTCATATCTCTCTCATTTTTGAAATTCAGCAAATTTGTATATGTAATTTCCAGATGGATAAGAAAAAGTGGATGCGCATCTAATTTCTAGCTTTGAATCTCAATTAAGTGTATTTAAGAAAAGAACCCAATGTAATTATCATCAACACATACAACTTACAGCTTAGACCTCCAGTAATGCCATCTCAGAAGCAGATTTTACATCACATCAAAGATTGATAACAAGCCTCATGACGTTTAGGCAATACGTACAACTAAGTGCTAAGTTAAAATCTTGTAGACTAACCTGTCACTTTTCAAGGTACGTGATACCCGTGCGGGAGTCTACTTAATTAGAGGGCCACTATAACAGAAATCTACCTATCCATGACACAAATGACGTGCGATTTTTTTATAATTTTATTTTTTTAATATAATCCCTCCCTACATCAATGCACTTGCGCCATTACTCCTCCAGTGAACTTATACCCTTTGATTCCTCTTGACTCAAAAAAAAATCGTAAACGGCTGCTTTTCGGCCATCATCTGAGTAAAAATGGCTCCCTCGAAGATTCTTCTTTAGTAATCTAACAGATAAAAGTCAGACAGAGCCAAGTCCGGACTAGAGGGAGGATGGTCTATCTAAAGGAAGCTGCATTCCTGCACAATTTGTCCATTTTTTGCAGCCTGGTCGCATTGCCATGCAGCTAAAACACTTCTTTATTTTACAGCAGAGGGTTGCATCCATACTTTTTTGGGGGGTTGGATACCCTTAGTGAACCCTTTGCTTGGATTCTTTTTTGGTCTCAGGATCCCAATGTTGCATCCAAGTCTCGTCGCCGTCTCAATTTACACCAAAATGATTTTCTGAAATTTCGAATCTGTGCAATTTTTGTCCAGGTGTCAAGAGTCGTGGAACTCACCTTGCTGACAGCTTACTCATGATCAAATTGTCCTCCAAAATGGTTATTACGCCGGGTCCGATACATTCAATGCCATACTAATGTTAAAGACCTTCACCTGACGACCTTCGAAAACCATGGCTTTAACTTTTTTAGTCTTCCACTTCTGGGATCGTTTTCTATGGATTCACGCCGCCATCGAAACTGTTCAGACCAAAATTTTGTGTAATATTGTCACGAGTGACCACCCTGTGAGGCTTTACACGCGCCAGCTCAGTAGCTTACGAACAGATGTGCCACAGCACATCTTCGGCATGCTGTATTCTTATCAGCCGAAGAGGGGATATTATTGAGTATATTAAAGGCATTCCCGCTGCGGGGGCGGTCCCCCTCGGGGGTCAACTCTTACCATTCTTCCCTGTGTGAATACCAGGTGTGCTCTACAGTTTACTACATTTTTCCACACAATTTACTTTAAAATGGGAAGCTAATTATCAAATATAACTTAAATTTTGCAAGTAACGTTATAACAAAAGCAACTATTTGACATATTATGCTTGAGAATTTCAATTGTTCTTTTCTAGTGTCTCTCGTATAATGTAAGTAATGTAAGCTATCGTGACGCGTACAATTCCGTCAATTATTCTTATGAGAAATCCTCTCAAGTGTAGTCACAAGCTGCAATGTGGTTATGATGGCTAGGTTTGGTTATTGCTGCCAAAATTATAGTTAAATATTAGAGGCTCATTTTAGTCAGAAGCTCACGTAGATAAACGGCCATTGTTGACGCCAGACTTTGACCAGTTATTAATGTCTAACCATACTGTGTGTAATGTGAGTAAGGTTTGCTTTTGGTTGTAACAAACTGCTCTGGTATTATCCAAACTGACATTAATTAGATTTTGATAGACGATACTTACCAGGTGGCGCTGGCGGCTCAATATGCACATTAACCTTTGCCCTAGATTCCCTATCCTCCTCTTTGCCCTCCAGCCTCCTTTGTACAGTCTCCATCTCCTTCATAAATTCATCTACATTTTGACCTGATAAGGCAACCATCTTCTGCTGCAAAGATGTTGGTTTCTTTGCTGATGGCGATGTTAACTGCGGCTGCTCAATCTCAGCCGCGACGTCTTCCTCCACTTCTTCGAATTCTTCCTCTACAATCGACTTAGCGCCAAACTCTAGTGGTTCCCCTTCATCATCCAACTCTGGTGGAGGGCCTGGTGGACAACCAGGGGGTTCTCGAATTGGTTGCCCCTAAAATAGTGCAAACTGATCACAAAACTTAATTGAAACTTGAAACTTTACTTTCCATGGCAATAGACGAGGAAGTATGTATTGTAATCGCGATAAATCTCGAAATCAAGTTATTAGGATTTTTTTTATGTCCTATAACATGTAAACAGGTCTGTGAAGTTAACCCAGAAAATTCAAGGCTGTTAAAAAACGATGTGCCATACGATTTTACATCGTTTTGCCACGTTATTCCACTTTTTTTTTTCGTTTTCCACCATTAGCTAAAAAAAATGTAAACAAAAATACTGTTGGCCTAGAAATTTTTGACAAGAATCCTCTCGAATTCGTTTCTTTACAGCCTTCTTTATTATCCTACAACCAACTTTTTTCACCACAAAACAACTTTTACCATCTGAGTGATAGGGAAAACTGAAAACAAAAAATTTGGGTCATATGCAGATAGCCATACTTTTGTATACCTGTCCAGGCCACACAGAAATCATCACAATCGTTTTCCAGACTTTTGGTGGAAAATCGAAGTGATGGAAAAGTATGGATGTGTGACTCTTAACTTCTTGTTTTCAATTTTCTATGTTAGTCAGGTGGAAAAGCTTGATTTATGGTGAAAAAGAGTAGGTTGTAGGGCAGTAAAGAAGTCTTAGGCTGTGAAGAAACGAATTCGTGAGGATTCCCATCAGAAATTAGGCTAACCTCAAATGACCCCAAAAAATTATATCTCATTTTTTCATTATTCAAAAGTGGAAAAACCAAAAATTTGGTTGTAAAAACATTTTAAAACGATGGAAAATCCATGTGCTCATTTTGGAGGGACTTTTATTTGAAATTTTTTTAAGCTACTAGTGTAAAAACGAAAAATGTTGGTGGAAAAATGTAGCAAAACGATGTCCATCACGCTTTGACGTCTACTGAGGTAAACAGCTGATCAGCAAGTGACATTTTTGTGTTGCTCTGCAAAGTTGGCAAAAATGAAACAGATATAAATTTAGTAAAACTTGTTCGTGGCGTTTTCTTTTTTGTATGCAAATGAACTTTTCTAAATAAAGAAGCTGTTAGCAAATACAAAATGAATCTGGATGGATACTCATGGAATAGGGTATATGTCAACCACTTCTGACAGCCAGACCACTATTCCTTGCTCCATCTATAACTTGGAAAATACTGTTCCAAGCTGCTTTCCAGTGACCCTGTTGAGCAGTACCAATATCATTCCACTGCATGTTGTATTCTCATGCATTGTTTCTGGAGCAATGGAGTGGAGTGTATTACTCTCGTACCAAAAACCACTGAAAATCAGCTAAAATTTTGATGAGATTTACTACTATGCCAAAGACAAAGAATGTCATCACATAGGCTGCCTATCTATTTCCCATGCAATGCTGTGATCAGTACATGAAGGATTATGTTGGGCGCAAGTTAAGAAGAAAAGAAGAGAGCAAGAGAAGAAAAATTAGATTCCAATTTGTATTATCAGAAAATTAAATGGGTCAAGTCAACCCCCCTGCCATTAATACCATCCATCTGTCAACGTCACTCGTCAGCAGATCCACTCGTCAGACTTGGCACAATAGTCATTGGTAAGACTAGAGCTGATAAATCTGGAGAGTGCATGTCAAAAATATTTCTGCATCATTCTAAGGGCAAATATATGAGGAAATCTATGCTGTGTGAAATATGTCTAATAGGTGAGGTTAATTACAGGTAGGAAGCATATAAATACACACTGCCACAGTACCGATTCCCAAAAAGGACAAAGGTTTTTCATCGTTAGCATAATAGTAATCTTGTTCAAAATTTCATCAACATCGGAGTGCTACTTGCCAAGTAAAATTGGGCATAAGTACCCTAAGAGAGACATTCTTTAATCAATTGTGGTGCACTTTTAATAAAGCATTGTGTTGTGTAGAGGAAGAGACTACATTTGCCTGAAAACTATAATAATTCCATTAGTAGTGCTAATATAAGCGATTTGAGAAACCTGCAATTAGATTGAGCAGTTCACTTATTTGACAAACAATATCTTACCAAAGCTTGGAGTTTCAAAGCAGTAGCTATTGAGTAAATTGTATGCTCTGGTTTCCTTTCATTTTTAGGTAATGGTATTTGAGATGCAGCATTAATACTCGGTTGCTGTGGGATTTGTGGTAAAGGGATTTCATCCACTGTCACCTGCTGCGCACTTTTCACAGACTCATAAAATGCTACCAGTTGGTTCTTCTTTTGTTCATATTCATTTTGTCTTCGCTTCAAATCTGCCCATTTTTCTTGATCATCTTTGTACTGAGAAAACATTTAACATTAATGATATTGAAACATCAGTTGTCTGCAATTTTACTTACATACATGGTGAGGACCCTCTCTAAGGTATCTCTCAATTTCTTACGTTTATCTTTTAAAACCTTCTCATTCAAAGGTGATGGCTGGTTTACGTTAAATTCCATTTGATCTATCTTTTCCATTTCTTCCAATATTTGCTGTGGATCCTTTCCTTTAAGAACGGCTGCTCTGACAAGTTGTCTCTGCTTTTTATTTTTCTTTAGTTCTTGTTTTCTAGCTTCTTTTCCTAAAGAATCATATCAAAATGTAAGCAAAGATGTATTCATGGGTGCATGTTAATACTTACGGGCTTGATCAGTGGGGTTCATGTATTTACCACTTTTAGTGGTATTAATGGACCTTCGCCCCATTATTGATGCTTTTTGCTAGCTCTATTCCGTATGAAATCGTGGTTAGTATTCAATTTTGTCCGTTTTCCAGAATTACACTATTAAACTACTCTAACCATACATATCGTCTTATTGCAGACAACCTGATTGCTTAACGAAAACAAAAAATATTTAAAAAAAAGCGGTCGGACCTTAAAAATCCAATAATTCTAGGTTAAATGCACCACAAAACATATACACTGAAAAAATGCTTACTCGAAAGCTCAGTTAATTCCACAAAACAAGAACACCACAAACACAAAACATGTACACTAACCGGCTAACCGCAAACAAAACGCACAAAACGAAAACACGGCTGTCGGCAGACGCCACTGTCAATGACGACAGCCCTGGCGTTGTGTATTAGTATTAAACCACTCCCACACGATGTGACGAATGCCTTGCAACGTTGGACACAGGCCATTCGCCACATCGTGTGGGAGAGTGCTAACGGATTGCATGTGTCCAACATTCGCCACAAGGCACGTTCGGGCTCTTGTCGGTAAATTTGACCCGCGTCAAGGACATTACAACGTTGGAAGCATGGTTCGTTAAGCTCTTACACGAGATGGCATATGTTTGATCTGGTTAAGTTAGAACCAGTAGCTGCGAAAAACATTTACTTTTTTTGCTGTGAAGTAGTGGTATGTGGGAAGTATTTTGATTTTAATACCTACATACCTTTTCATAATAATGTATGTTCCGTAAATAACTTTTGAGTAGAATGAATTAAACTAGTATACATACAAAGCATAGGCTGCCATAACAACACTTTTTTCATATTGCTAATATTTTGTACGTTTCGCACGTGAGTTATGGCTGGCCTAACGATATGTGTTTTAGTAAATTATCAATTATCAAGTGCTTACAATTGTTCCTTTATAATGTCCTGTTGCAATGCAAGACTAGTTGAGAGAGATATTGACTTGCATGTCATAACTAACGAAAATGATTAAATATATGATAACTCTGAAAGTACTATCAGGATTTTGATGAAATTTGGACCCCAGGTTACTACTATGAAAATGACGAAATAGCTCTGCAGTTTTTAGTCGGTACAGGGGCGGCAGAGTGATCGTCGAAAAACAAACAAAAAATGGTCAAACCCTTGTTTTTCGACATTTCTGAGGCTTCTGACAGACTTTAGGTTTTGGTCGTTGAAGACAGATCTGAAATTATTTTTCGGCGTTCCAAAATATTGTTTCATCGTTCATTTTGTATAATTTTTCCTTCAGTTGTAAAGGTTCAAGCGCGACACTGACACCGGATTTTGGCGCCACAATGCGTCGAACGTCCGAGACTAAAAGTTCATCCCATCGTGTAGGAGACTCACTTGCGTCCTTGCCAATTGTGGTGTGTCGAACGTTGTAAACAACGTTGTATACACAACACTGGAAGCATCGTGTGGGACCTGCATTACTGATTTAATATGTACTATTTTTTATCCCCAGGAAGGAAGCGAGATGTTTAAAAAACACCAAAGTATGACAAAATGGATAAATATTGTTGGATTTGTGTTAACATAGAGACAGATTTAGAAAACGTCAATGATACTGATGAAAATGGGGTTTCTCATGCTACGAAATTAATGAGGTGTACACCCCAACAGGTACAACTATCCAAAAGTATGCATCGTCTTCCTAACAGATTGCACTTACAATTTTAGGAATGGAAAGATGACTTCAATATTTGCAAAAGATGTATTGAAAAGCTCAACATAGCATATACGTTTATACAGCTTTGCATCCAGAGTGAGGAATTGAGGAATAAACAGCGAAAATGCTTAGAACAAAAACAAGCAAAGCATTATTGTGAAATTTGTGAAAAAGTGTTCAAGTCTGCAAGAAATCTTAGACAACACAATGTCAGATTACATAAAAATTCCTCGTTAAAACACACATCAACTGTGAAGCAATTTATTTGTGAAAAGGAGTTTAAGCCCAAAAGGAACCTCTGCCACCACAATATCAGAATACATCAGAAACCTGAAATCACCAAGAATTCAAAAATAAATGAAGTAGATGAGGTGTTAAAAGAAAACTTAAAAGAAGAAGATACATCTTTTATTACTTATTTAGAAACTAATAACACTAGTGACAGTGAGGACCAAAAAGATGAAATAAAAGTTGATGATGGTCAAAAAGATGAAATAGAAGTCAAGTCATCAAGAAATAATAGATGTAAGATTCCCTTTACCTGTGAGTATTGTGGCAAAATATCTCATAGAAGGCAACACCACCTGTACCATATTAGATCAAGGCATACATTTGAAAAACCCTACAAGTGTGATCTGTGTGATGCTAGCTTTACTAATTCTCACAGCTTATTGGTGCATAAAAGAAATCATAAGAATGAAAAACCTTTTATTTGTTCATCTTGTGGTAAATGTTTTGTCTGTTCTGGTGATTTGCATCATCACAGCAAAATACATTTGAATAAAAGGGAGTACAAATGTTCAATTTGTAACAAAGGTTTCAATACAGCTAGTTGTTTGCGAGCTCATAACATATGTGTGCATACAGACCCAAGTAAATGGACTTATGCATGCACTCATTGTCCTCGTAAATTCCCTATCAAAACAAGCTTAAAAGATCATCTAAAAAGACATGTTGGTATTAAAGAGGTATCATGTCACATTTGCTCAAAAAGCTTCTACAACAAACAAGAACTGAGAAAGCACTTTCCCAGCCATTCTGATGAGCGTAAATTTAGGTGTGACATCTGTAAAGATAGAGGGTATAAAACTCAATATGCCTTGAAAAAACATATGAAGATTACACATAATATAGGTGATATTATAGTTAAAAAACCTGAAAAGAAAATTCACTGTCCAATGTGCCCTAAGACATTTGCATTTAAATATAAATTACAAAGGCATATATGTACACATACAGGTGAGAAACCTTTCAAGTGTCATTTGTGTGATAAGCGATTCATGGATAATTATATCAGAAAAATTCATCTAAAGCAAAAACATGACTGTGAAGTGAAGCAAGAATGTTAGTTTGGCTTATTTATTAACTTTTATGTAACATTGTTTCTTAAGATATGTAATGTTACATGTTATTTTACAAGATATTCCATTGTTTGACATTTTTACTGAAAATATATTTTATAATAAACTAATATAATCACTACTAGCTAACAACCTGCAAATACTACAATTAGTATTTTTCAGTGATATCACATCACTCAAAATACAAGTTCTAGGATCTTTCTAAGTATTTACTGTTTCATCACCATCCATTTTTATTATCTTCTATACAAATGTGCAAAGGTTTGGTATAACCTTGTGAACTATCCACACTGAGAACTAAATTTGTCTGATGGCTTGAGTTCAATGTGTATGAGAGAGAAGTATGTATAGACACATGTGTTAATAAGATATAGAAGCCGCCTCGATAGGGAAGCTCATCACCGCGTTGCCTAGCAACGTTGACGCGGGAATCCGCCGCGTTGCCAATAAGATTTTTGAATTGTGTCGAATCTGTTTAGATTTGATCCCCGATCGGTCCTAACACAATACACACTAACACAAATTCTGCAACATTCCATCATTGGTTTGTTTAATAACACCGCATATTGTATGTGCATAAAAAGAAGAAGCTTATAAACAAAGGAGATATGAATTTTAAGAAAAATAAATTTTATCTTGGCTCCCACGGGTAGTTTTTTAAAATATCCACCTATCCAGATCAACTTGTTAGAATACATTATATTGACAAATTCCGGGGTAATCGTAAAGGTTTATAACTATAAAAATGGATATTTCTTAACATCATTAACAACAATTTTGAAACTAATAATTAATTTTTTGCATAAATTCTTGAAGTTGAAACTTTCAAGAATGCATTTCACTTTTGTAAAATGTTCTAGGACCATATCAGTTATTTAAATAATTACTCTCTGGGATATACAATTAGCTTTTTAAATAAACCATTAAACCGATCGGGCTGAAATTTAGAATACCAATGATGCCCTCTTCTCACAAATTTTTTGTCATTTAAAATTGATATTGCAATTAACATTTATTCAATATTGCTAAAAAGCCCTGAATTTAGCTTAATTGTCTACCGATTTTGATACTTAAAAAACTGAATTGAAGTCTTTGTATTTTGAATAATTTGTTTGTTTGTTTTAGATTTATTAATATCCATATTACACAGTATATTACAAAATATATTATGTCTTCAAGACTACATATTTTTATACAAAATTTCACTATTCAATTCAATTTCCCTTTGAAAATTTTCAAACTGACACACATCTTGATATCATTACTCAATTTATTAAATTCGTACAATCCCTTTTGAAATACTGACTTGCTCGTTATATTGCTACCGCAGTTTTGTAAATGAAAGTCTATACTTCCTCTAGTAGAATAATTGTGGCACTCATTGTTCAATACAATAAAATTTTTGAGTGATACGTAGGCTATGAAATTTTTGATATTTAACCATTGTAGTTCTTTCAGCATAAAATTTATTCTAGTATATTTATTTTTAAGATGATTCTCATAGCTTTATTTTGTAATATTTGTAATTTTGAAAATACAGTTTCATTTGCAGTGAACAAACTAGTCGAACAATATAACAAATGAGGAAGAATGATAGTGTTGTACACAATTTTTTTAAATAACATATTCATAGTCCTTCAAATTTTAATTTACTGGCTATGTATATGCCCAAATCTTTAAATGATTCGATTGACACAATTTTTTTCATGATTAATTGTAAGATTTATCGTATTTTGATCTAAAGATTTTCCTATTAGCATATAATTTGTTTTGTTTGTGTTTAGTTTAAGTTTATTCACATTTAACCAATTTATTACGTTTTTCATATTATTTAACAGGTCTATTGCAGTTTCAGTGTCTTTATTTGATATATATATATATATATATATATATATATATATAAATATATATAAACTTTTTTTCATCCATATTTCGTATCCATTCTTCTACTACCATTTGAATTGCTGTTTCAGTAGAATACTATTTTCTGAATCCTGCTTGAAATTTTGTCAATATCGTATTTTCTTCAATATACTCAATGACTTCTTCGTATATGATTCCTTCCATTAGCTTCTCGACATCTGGCAGTACAATCATTGGCCGCATGTTTGAATATCTCAGAATTTTGCACTTTTGGAACAGGAGTAATTGCAGAACATTTTAATTTTGAAGGAAATTCGCCATACACTAAACAGTGATTCACTAACAATAAGAACTTCTCTCCAATAATGTTAAAACATTCCTTCATAACCATTTTTGAAAGATGTTCACTAGGATTTCTATTCGATTTCAATCTTGTAATAGCTTTTGAAAGATGGCTGATACTTATTGTTTGGAATTGTCTCATAGAAGAATTATAAGTAACCTAGATTTGGATCCCTATCTTCGATTGATTCCACTATCTTGTTTATACTTTCTATAAAATAAGTGTTCATTCATTCTGCAATCAATATTTTGTGTGTTACGAGTACTATACCATCTTCGAAGCACATTCTTGATAATTCATTTTTCCTATTGGGAGATACAATATTTTTTAGTGTCTTCCACATCATTTTACTGTTATTTTTATTGCTATCGATTTTGTTTTCATAATATTTTTTCTTTTCGTTCCTAAGATTTGTCAAACACATGTTTCTTGATTTCTTATATTGTATCCAATCTTCCTCAGTGATCAGAAACCTTTTATAGTCATTAACACACGTGAATTTAGAGTCTAGAAATATTTGTGAAAACCAGAGTGTTGGCTTTTTCCGTTGATATACCACTTTCCTAATTTGTGCTTCTCACATACAATCCATAATTTTTAAGAAGTAAGTGTCAGCATCATTAAACATTTCAGTGATATTGGCTTGTAAGAGTGACTCTCGTAATGTTTCAAAGTCAATAATTGTGATTTCTATTGATTCCCTCTAATTAAACATATTTTCCTCCTCGAAACATCCACGAATGGTCGCTTATTTTTGGAGTATGTAAAACCTTAATACTCAAATTCTGTTCATTGGTTATTATTAAATCGACCTTAGTTCGTGAAAAGTTTGTAATCCTTGTGTAGTTATTAACTTTTTGCCATGGACCATGAAAGTTCAGTACCTGTTTAATTTTTTTTAAATAAAAATCTTGAATATCAAAATTTATATTGAAGTCTCCCAAGTGCACAGAGGAGCAATTTCGATAATACTGTTTTCAACAAACACTCTCAAAAAAGTCCGAAAATCGGCTAATATTACAGCTTGGAGACCTGTAGTAAACATGTACATTGTAATTTTGTTTCATCTTGATTTCAGAATTAATATACATACCACCATTGATAATCAACAACTACAGTATTATGTGTTTTTACTTCAATCATACCCAGTTACAACATCATACTGATGAATATCAATCCCTATATCTTCAATATCTTCTGTAATATGTGTTTCAGTCAAGCAAAGAACTAATGGTTTCACTAATATTAAAAAATTTATAACTTCATCCCTGTGCGATAAAAATCCTTGAAGATTTGTATGGTATACGTTGTTAGAATATTTTTTGGCCTGTAATTGCTATTTGTCACCATAAGAGACTTTATTTTTTGATTTTTTCATATTTTATTTGGACCATGTTGCAGGTATAGTGGAAGGATGAGCGATTTATATCGAAATTTGTGTTGTACTTCAAATTTGATTCTCTGCAATTTGGACATTATTTCATCTTTTGATATCATACAGTTCTGGGCCTGATGATCATTATTACCACATTTTAAACAAATACTGGTCTTGGTACAATTCTTCGCTGTGTGGTGACATCCGCCACAGTTAAAACACTTCAGAAGATCGTAATGCTCAAATATTGTACAAATAAAATAAAACTCTTGCTTTCATTACTGCTTCAAATGTCGATCTATTCAATTCCAAAATTGCCATATACCGAAATTTATTTTTTTTGATTTCCACTACTTTAATCGAAGCATCACTATTTATAACGTTGTTTCTCATATTTAAGTCTCTAACCAATTCTTCATTGTTTAAGTATTGACTGAAACCCACGACTTTAATCATTGGTATTTTTTGTGGCCTACATTTACTTTATAATTCTGTCCAACACTTTTTTCTATTTAGAATAATAATAAGAATAGCGTTTATTTTCAGAGCAAAAAAAATACAAAGAGAAAAAATTAAAAATAAAGAAACAACATGAATTCCCTGCAAAAGGGACTAGAAAACAGACGAGCTGATAAAAGAACTAGCTCAACAAACAAAATTACAACAGAGGAGTTAACCAAATTATATAAGTTAATATTAATAATTAATAATAAATAATTACAAACGTCAAAAAATATATGTATATAAAGAAATTATATAAAAAATATAATTTAACGAACACTGTCAAATCATTTTAGGCAGATTTAACAACAAAAAAAAAACATTTTAAATATAAAAAGGAAGGGAAAAATATAAAGTAACACTACAATTCATCTAATAGAAATTTTCTGTAACTTCTTTTAAAAGCTGACACAGACATAGGCTTAAGGTTTGTGGGGACGTGATTAAGCCATTTGACTTGGTTGGATTTACGGATAACTGATGTGCTATGCTTTCATTTGTCAAATTATTAAGATCTTCATTTAATAATGTAACCGCAGTTGTTGTATCTGTATGAGAGAACGAACATTTTATCTGGGTATCGTCAGCATATAAATAAGGCTTTGAATATATCAAACTAGTAGTAATATTTGCAGAGTATACTGAAAAAAGTAATGGACCCAAGATAGAGCCTTGAGGTACCCCACACAGAACAGACATACACCCCGGTAGAAGTTATGACAAACTGCGTCCTCTTCGAGAAATAACTTTTGAATAGTTTAATAGCATTAACGGAACATCCCATGTATTTTAAAATAGAAAACGTTAACTGGTGATTAATTGTATCAAATGCCTTTTTGTAATCAATCAATACAATATCCCTGATAATTTCGTGCGTAACAGCTAGAAGCGCTGTCGTGCAACTAAAACCCGTTCGAAACCCTGAATGAAATGAAGTCATATGCATCTATATGAAGCATTAACTGAAATTTTATAATTTTTTCCAGAACTTTTGACATCATCGGGAATATAGAAATTGGACGAAGATCTGACAAGCTACATATAGTGCATTTCTTTGGCAGAGGATGAACTTTTGCAACTTAAGAGTTTTTATTTCATAAAGATATTTGTAAACAATGGCTTCAGAAACAGGTTCAAATGAAGATAACCGATCAAAATCCTTACAGAAATTGCTATTGTAAAAGTGAAATTTTTCAGGATCAGGATCAACATTGTTTGATGACGGATTCAGAAAATGCTTTATTTATCTCATTCGGAACATAAAACTCTGCAAGTATATTTGGCGTTTTCGACTTGCCAGCAATATCTAGGCTTTGCAATTTCTTCCAGATAGCCTTTGAATTCCCTCGGCAGCTGTTAAACGAATACTTAAAATATGATTTTTGTTCAGCCCTAACAGATTTGGTGGTGAGATTCCTCATTTGTTTATAATAATCCCAATGTTCCGGCAAACCGGTCCTTTTAAATTTTCGAAACGCCTTGTCACGAAGAGACATCATTAATTTAACATTGGCGGCTTAAAATGTTTAAATTTGATCTGTTAGTGGAGCTAAAGTGTCAAAAATATTAAGAATAATAATATTGAAATATAGTACCTTTTCATTTATATTATTTATGAAAAATAAGTCAAGAAAAGGAGAAATTTGCAAAAATTCTTCTAGGATACCCTTATCTATATTTTTAAGGTTTCTAACATATTTACTACTCTCCGTTGCAACACATTGTAAATTCAAAGTACAATACACCAACAAATGATCAGACACATCAACAATATCTATTGTTCCTTTGTCAGATACATTTAAATCATTAGACACCAGGATGACATCAATAAGAGAAGCAGAAGTATTAGAGATACGAGTGGGCGAATTAACTAATTGAGATAAATTAAAAAGTTCAATACAGTTATGAAAGGCCTCAACTTGATTGTTCTGAAAGTTCAAACAATCAATATTGATGTCTCCACCAAAAATGATAGTACCAGAATTTAAATAAAGCTCAGTGAGATTTGCTTCGAGATTAAGTAGGAAGTCACATACATTTTTACTTGGTGGCCTATAAAGTGTACCAAACTTGAAATACTCTTTATTTATACAAAATTCTAACCAAATTAGTTCTACTGCTGCTTCGCTATAGAGAATGTTTATTGTTTTATCATTTTATATATTCTGCTATGTAAATTCCTACACCACCGCCTCTACTCGTTCTATCTAACCTGAAAAGTCTAACCGTCTCACAAACACCAACTATATCAAATTTCTTTTGTAACATAAACTGTTTAAATTCAAAGAAATTATTTGTAAGCGACCTTACATTAATAAAAGCAAATGACAAATCTTTCATAAAAAGGTAATGGATTCAATAAAAAAAACACTAACAAATAGAATTGAATACTCATTTTTTTTAAATTTTCTATGTCTGCTAATGATTTGATCCTCAATGCAACTGCCGAACAGCCTTCCTGACATAGATCTGGCCATTTATGCACCAAACGTATTTAAACCCAGAAATCTTTGCCTCTTTATAAATGTCTCTAGTTTACTTTGGAAGATCTTCATTAATAAATATTCTAGCTTGTGAATCACAGATGCTGCAGTTTTGATTGCTCAGTGATAGCCTTTTTCTCTTTTCTATAACCGTATCACGTTGTTCCACTGAATCAAATTGCACAGTCACCACAGTAGGATCCACCTCAGCCTTAGAAAGAACAAACACCTTATAGCTGGGTTCCTCCATATCCAATTTCGAAAAGACTTTTTTGACATTTTTGACATTTTCATCAATATTCTGATTTCCTTTAATTCCTGTAAGAATCACCCTTTTCCTCCTATCTTCATCTTCATCTTTAGAAACCGTTTTCTTCAAAGTTACTGCCTCCTTTTCCGGTCCAGCAACATGATTCTTAAGATGCTCTTGTGTTTTTTGCAACTCACGATTCTGATCCAATATAGCTTTTATTGTTCTTTGTATCACTTCACCATTAAAATTAAATTTTCTATTTCTGAAAACTTCTGTTGTATAGTTTTCATTATGTCTTTGTTACTGGGATTATCCATTGGTACGGGATCAGACGCGTCTGACTGATCAGTCTTACGCTTTTCATAAGCCAAAAATTGCTCGTCCGATAGCCCAGTACATGTCCTCTGGTACCATCCACCGCACGTCCCAGCACGTTTCAAACTATATTGTGTCTTAGCTATATTATTTCTACATTTACCACATTCACAGGTCTTGAACTTGCCTTTTGTCATATTGATCCAAATCGACTATAACACATGCTTCTAAATAAAATACGAGAAATAACTCTTTTTCATTCAAAGCACTTTTTGTAGCGTGGTATACCTTTTTTATAAACGAGGTGGCGTATTTTATATTCAAATTGCTGCAATTTCTCGCATATAAATGCACATAACACAAATACTTCCGTAAAACTTCATTCCTTGCACCACCAAGGGAGACTTGTAAAAAGAAATAAATTATTCGCTGGTGTTAGACCCATAAAATTTGAGAAACACCAGAGCACTTTTTAGAACGTGTTAACCCTTAACCCGCGAGGTTGATTAATTTAACGTTAATCGCGAGTATCGGTATGTGATACCGCTTTAGATTTTTTACATATAAAATTAAAAGCATAGTGTAAATATTTGAAGGTTTTATTAAGTTTTTTATAAAATAAAGCAAAACAAAAAAATTTAGCTGAATAATAATGACATTCTAGACAAAAGATTGCTACTTTTCAGCGATCTTCTTGGTCGGCGACACAGTTCTTACACATTTTGCTGGCATGCTCGAGGCAAATCGGTTGCTGACAAGAGTAGCATTTGTAAAACGTCTTTCTCTTCTGGTATGGACACAAAAAACAAGTTTTCTTCACTTCTAGGCGCTCGTCTCTTGACGTTGATGGTTCGTTCCTAAGATCGTCGACTCCAAGAGCGCCTTTGATAAGAGCTTGAAGTTCCTTGTTCAATTTTGGATTTTCAAGCCTTTTTGCCATATGAGGCTTTACGATTTGCATCGCTAGTTCTTCAATAAACAGACGTCTGGATTTTGGTGTAATATCTTTGTAATGAAGAAATAAAACGTTGCATTATTGGTAGATATATCTATCAGTCTATAAAATATTGCTAAGGGCCAACGACGAGTACGACGGCCGGAAGAATAATTGGCGCATTTCATGTCGAGAGTATCAACGCCACCTTTAGTCGCATTGTAAAATGATATTATTTCAGGAAGAGCGTTTTCGGTGTCGGTTGCTTTAGAATGATGGGCTGAAGTCACCAATAATACAGCTTTATTTTTTTTTGGAACGTGCGATATTAGTGTGAATGCATCATTGGAGAACCCATATAACGTAGATACAACTGGTCGTTTGGGCGATGGTAAAAATTCTGGAGGTATCTCCCGCTTGTTCTTCTTCAATGTCCCTGTGTAAGTTAAGCCTTTTTTGCTTAACTGATGAAGCAGCTCTATTGAGGTAAACCAATTATCAGCAGTTATGTTTCTGTTTGTTTTTTCGATAGGCTTGGCTAACCGAAGAACTGCCTGTGCTGGCTTCTAAAATTTCCTTTCTTCGTCGGGTAATGTTTTTCCATCACTATCTTTACCTGTGTAGATGTAACCGTTGTAGAAATAAGAGTTTCGAGCATCCGTCAGACATTGTAATTTGAGACCATACTTCGCGGGTTTGTTAGGCATGTACATTTTAAAAGAGCATCGCCCTCGGAATCTGATTAACATTTCGTCGATGCATGTTGTTGGACCCAAATTGAAGCATTTTTGTGAATTATCGATGACACGGATGAATAGAAAGGATATTGCCGCTGCTGAGTCCTCCTGACACCGTTGGACTCTAGTGGAAGCATCATCAAACCTTATACATTTGAGTAACTTTTCAAATCTTTTGGAAGACATTACTGTTCTGAATATGGGACGACCTGTACACGTATTTGAGCATAATGATAGCATATTTTCATGGTTCGACCGGAATATAGATGTTAGCACAAGAAGACCGATAAAAGCTCTTATTTCAATAAGGTTAGTATTCTTGTAATCTATGGTATTAGAGTTCTTGTGGATAGATCTTACTATTTCCAATTTTTCATTTGTTCGCAATACGATTTCATTTAGCATCTCGTTGTCGAATAAAAGGTTCCAAATTTCACCAACATCAGGATTGTTCCCCAAACGATTTGCTGCTGGTTTAAGACTGGGCAATTTGATTATAATGTTATGTTTGGGCGTTCTTAGAGCTTTATTGGGTTTTTCGAACTTCCAAATATAACCGTTTTTACCTTTATAACTGACTACACCTGTAACATGATCACTTTGCACATTATCGCGGCTCGAATTCGAATCTTGGTCTACCGACTCCATTTCTAATTCACTGTCCTCTTCTTCATGATCTGAAGGAACATATTCTTCCTGCAATGTTTCGTCATTGGAATCTTCTACATCAGAAGAGTCTTTTTGTTCGTAATCAGATTCCAATTCATCGAAGCATTTTCTGAGCTTTTGCTCATAGTCTTTGTCACCAAACTTTACTCGCTCTAAGCCAGATGCCATGATCTGAAATAAAAACAAACTTTGGGAATTGATTTACAAAATCACTGGATTCGAACATAATATGTTATTTCAATAACGCAAATTTTGACAAAAATAAATACCATAATAACATATTCCAGAATACCAAATATTAGCATTATACAGCTCTCATACTCAACTCTGTGAAAATTTATTTTTTTACGCACAAATATATATTGATTCATATAAAATATTTTGTCCTAAGCACTACTATTTATTTTTACCTTCTGAAATGTGTTTTTTTGGTTTTAGATACGAAGCCATTTTTCACGTAAACGAATAAAAATAAGATCAAAAACTTACCAGGACTCAATCACACATAAGCACATAAGATACAATAAAACTAATATTTCCTTGACTGGACGTGTATCCAAAAGTTCTACGCTATACGCGACTATCGGTATGACGGACCGCCAGACTTCAAAGTATCACTTCCGCAAATCGGTTTTGAGAACACTAATTACAGCGCCGCTTTTCCCTATTCGACATCATACAATATACTGAAGCTAGGTGGGGGCTCAATGTCATGAGTTGATTCTGACCGCAGTTATGGAAGGTTGAATTTTGAATAGCGGTACAGGATACCGTGCTCGCAGTTAAGGGCTGTCCAATGATTTTCCAATTTTAACTTTTTGATATCATCGATATCCTTGCACTCAATTTTCAGTACTCCATCTTTCAGATCATTTACTTTTTTAATGGACAAATTCATTTTTGATGGATTTATATACTTGCTCAATTCCTTCTTTGTTTGCGTACAACTTTTATTTGTATTATTAGGTTTAATAACACTTGAATTTTGCGGTTGTGTTTCTATTTTTAGTATATTTTACAGTTTTTTTTTTGAGATGGCGAAGTAATGTTGGTGTTTTCATGTGTAGAAATTTTGCCCATGTCTGCATAAGATTTACTGTTATTTGCAGATGTATCTTGTAAATTATCAATTTGTTTATTTAGTTTATCTATTTTTTCATATAGTTCTT